TTTGAAGCTCTCTCCCTTATCAAGGATAAAGAGGAAGAACAGTGCGGACAGTCCTCAAGGATAGTGCAGGGAAGCCTACGAGTACCACTGTAGGGAATAGTCATTTCTAAGCCTTGGAGGAGGCGTGTGGTGGTGGTTGGGGACTCCTTGTTGAGAGGTACAGAAGCAGTGGTTTGTGGACCTGACAAGATGTCCAGGGAGGTGTGTTGTCTCCCTGGGGCAAAAATCCGTGATGTGACAGCGAGGCTGACTAAACTGGTCAAGCCTCCTGACCATTACCCCTTCCTCTTGGTCCATGTGGGAACCAATGATACTGCAAGGCACAGTCTTCAGAATATCAGAAGAGATTATGAGGCTTTGGGTAGGAAGCTGAAAGAGCTGGAAGCACAGGTTGTTATATCATATCTTCTCCCAGTTGAAGGGCATGGTCCAGGAAGGGAGAGGAAGATAGCAGATGTGAATAACTGGCTCCGCAGATGGTGCCGCCAAGAACGATTTGGATTCTTAGATCATGGGCTGCGGTTCCATGAGAGGGGACTTCTAGCAAGAGATGGGCTGCATCTGACACCAGTTGGCAGAAGCGTTTTTTGCCAATAGTCTCAAACATTTGATCAGGAGGGCTTTAAACTGAGTCATGTTGGGGAGGGAGACAATATCTTGGAAGGTATCTTGGAAGGCAGGAGTACATCATGGGCTGGAGATAATAGTTAAAGTGTTATAGAAGGAACAAGGCAAATGGTACAAGGGCCCAACAGTGGGAGGGAAAAAACCTCACACAGGAAGCAAGTGGGGAGGACACATGCTCTTAGATGTCTCTACACTAATGCACAGAGCATGGGAAATAAGATGAACTTAAACTCCTAGCACAACAAAGCAAATACAATATAATAGGCATCACTGAAACAATTGGAATGTAGGAATAGAGGGGTATAAACAGGAAAGGAGGAGGAATAGCATTATATGGCAGGGATGTTTACACTTGTGAAGAAATCCAGGACTTAAATCCTGAAAATAAGGTGGCGAGCATCTGGATTAAAAATTAAAGGGGAAGGAAACAACAGGGATGTTATAGTGGGAGTCTGCTACAGACCCCAAAGTCAGACTGAGGAACTGGATGGTGCCTTTCTAGAACAGATGACCACACACTCAGAAAGGAGAGATATAGTAGTGATGGGTGACTTCAACTATCCTGATATTTGCTGGAAGTCAAACTCAGCCAATACTTCAAGGTCTAGCAAATTCTTCGAAGACAATTTCTTTGTCCAAAAGGTGGAGGAGGCAACAAGGGGATCAGCTATTTTAGATCTGATCCTAACCAACAAGGATTACCTGGACAATGGGGTACAAGTGGTGGGACCCTTAGGTGGGAGTGATCATGTTCTCCAGGAGTTTCTTATACAGTGGGAAGGAGAAGCTAGGCATAGTCAAACACTCATTCTAAACCTTAGGAAAGCTGATTTCAACAAACTTAGGGTTTCTCAAAAACAAGTCATTCCAGACTAATCTGATCTCATTTTTTGAT